CTCTTAAACTAATGTTTTTTGATCAGACGGGCAGATGGAGGCTTTTGCCCAGGTAAGGCTGTTATGCTAATGTGCCAACTACAACCCATCTTGAATGAAACATTATGACTGTAGCTTGTGTCCTCATAAGAATTTACTACAGGACCTTTTAGATGGTGCTGCATTTGAGGACTACTGAAAAATTTCAATTGGTCCAAAATGCAGCAGCGTAATTCTTGGCAAGTACATTTTGACATGACATCCATGTTTCACATCCTTTAGTATGTATCATTTTGCTTGATGAATAGTTCTCAAAACTCCAAAACACTGCATTTATTAATTCTAGTTTTGTTGGACTAAATGGTGGCAAGGTCTTCTACAGAAGCTGGCAGCTTTTCCTCATGGACCAATAATGCAGCCACCACTTGATTTTCTCCTGCAATGTAGGCATTAATCATGGACACTGAGGCCTAAAATAAACAATTCCAACAGACTAAATACAATTAAAAACCACAATACTAACTGCTGTCTAATTGATTAACTATACAGCCTAGACTGATATAAACAGATACTAAAGAGGCATCTATTATAGCATCAGCTATACTTCATACAATAATCCACTTGCTTTTCAAATACAGAATTGCTTAGAAAAAACATGCAGGTCTTTCCAATTATTTGTTCTGAGTCAATAATACAATATTGTTTCTATTCAGTGCTCTTAAGCCATGATGAATTTAAAAAACAATAAATGGAGCCATTCCTAGCTTTGAATTTTCTTGAAAAAGCATAGGAAAAAACTACAGGCACTTGAAGACGTGTTAAAAGATTAAAATTGAAAAACTTGCAGACCAAAGTTATATTAACATACATATCTATAAAATGGTACAGTATCTTTCCTAGCTACATTTTTTGATGGCTGATTTGAGTGCAATAAATAGTTCATATTCATGTAAGATCAGAACTTTAACTAAAAAGGGCATTTTAGATAATTAATCGCAGGTATGAACTCCCAAATTCTACCTCACATAATATTTGTATTGGGTGATCAAATATACCTCAGAAGTGACATCATTTCTAAAAAAAAACCTTTTCACTTTTAAAATCCTAGAACTGCAAACTTTCCATAATGCCACAAATGACATGGCTACCTACCTTTCATCCTGATCAAGAGAACTTGATGATGTCTATTAAAGGATACATACTGTATGGACATGGATTGGAATGAGTAGCTCTGGGAATTTCAGAGATAACATGATAGTATTAGAAGATTTAAGACATTTTGAGATCTGATTCATAAGACAGGAATGGAAAAAAAGTCTATGCACTTAAGCATCTGAAATATTGCAGACTAGAAAAATGATGCCCTTCATCAGCACAGAAAAGTGCAAAACAAGTCAGAATGTGTGGTTTGGGGGGGGAGGATGAGGACAAATGACACCATAAAAGTATGTCGTGAATCATCTTCATATTCTATGACAAGGATGGGAAAGTTGATGAATGTAAGAAGTGCTGGACACTAATAGTAACAATTCCTGATCTAGGACTGCTTTAGGACTTGTGGTCAAAGGTATTTGGAGGACAGCAGGTTCTACACTGTTGCTTTTAGGAACAATTGATTCAAAACATGTATATGATCTAAGATCTCAAATCAGCAAATCAAATTTGTAAAACCACTACTAAATTCTTCCATTTATGTAGCAATTAAAATGTGAAATAAATTCACATTTTTACATGACTTATACTAAGAAAAAAGAACTGCAACAGATTCCTATATTTCCAAAAACTCAAGCAGAAACTTCCAGAGCAAATTGTCACTGTAAAGACATATTTACCACTGATCCTTGGTCTTACTACCATTACAGCATTCCCATGGTCATGTGATCAAAATTTAGGTGCTTAGCAACCGGCATGTATTTATAACTGTTGCATGATCCATCATCATATGAACATCATTTGTCACCTTTCAAGCTTGTTTCTGTTGATAGGGAAAGCTGGATTCACTTAACAACAGCAGTCATTCATTTAACAACTATGGAAAAAAGTTGTAGCATCAGGTGAGACTTATTTAACAACAGCTTTCCTTAGCAACTGAAATTATAGTTTCAATTTGTGATTGTAAGTCAAGGACTATTTGTTGCTAAGCACCTGAATTTTGATGAGTTATCTGACAGGTTGGATTCTAACTCTCAATATATTTTAAGCACTGCACATAGAGGGCCCACCATCAGAATGTAAATCATATAAACATCACATATATTTATGAATACTGACTACTTAATGCTAAGCAGACAACATTATAATGATAAACACTTGGGGCAAAGTTTTCCATAAAGGTGAATGACTTGATTATTCATTTGAGGAAAAGAATGCTCCACTGATACTAGATATGACTCATATATTTCATATGTGGAAGTGCAGTCTCATATATTGCAGTGTATAAATGTCATTAAGAGTTTTTTAGCATACTTTTCAAAATTATAATGCAAAGCAAATTTTGAATTACACTCAAAACAAATGAAAGGCAGAACTGTCTCCCCAAATACTAGTTTTGCCTATATGACCTATAGTCTTTGTGGCTTTTTGTGTCCAAAAATGATTTACTGAAATCCTAGAGAAGGGATAGCCTATGTTGCAGGCAATGAAAATGGAAAATTTCATGTATGACAAGCAAAATTGTAATTGTTAACTCTGCCAATCATAAAAGCTTCTGGTGACTATTTTAATAGTTTATATTTTGCAATTATGCACAACTGTACTATCTAAACACTTCATAATAGAATTATTTTTTTTCATCAAAATAGTTTTTCCTTTTGAGTAGCAGCTTTTTTAGTAATCAACAACTATTTATCCTTCAATATAGCATACAAACTACCGTATCAGATAGTATAGATGACAGCAAGCTAATTTAAGTAAGACTCTTTAATCTCTACTATCTCTGCTAGGGATGATGAAATTGAGAAAGGAGAAATACAAATAAATATTTACTTCAAGAACTTGTTTTTAAAAATCTTCTAAGTTGCAAACATGTTCTTACATATATAATGTACACTAAGAATCAAGATGAAAAAAATTAAATTAACTATTTTCATACAAGGTGAGTAACTGCATGGCCAGGGAGATACCTGGTTAGTCAATATAACTATATCTATAACCAGTGAAAGCTTGAGTGATTGGAATACAAAAATATATATGACTGAATCACTTTGATAATTGACCAGGATGTCAAAGTTTTATTTTGTTACTTACAAGATAAAAACACTGTTTACTCCAAACCAACCTGTCAGTTTAGGTTAAGAGTCTGATTAATAATACTGAACAAAATCTTTGATATTGTAAATTTTATTAGCCACCTAACCTGCAACATAACTCTCAATTAAACAAAAACAGGAACTGATTGTGCCATAGCATAGTAAGCATTATGCAGTTTACAGAATCCAGTGATATGTTACATAAAATGATTTCTTACTTATCTAGGTAACTATTTATACAAGAATGAGTGACAGTTATCTCTGACTTATTTAAATGGGAAGTTTTCACGTTCTGAAACTGCTGTCGAAGATGAGACAGCATATTAAGAATCCCATTCATCGATCGATGAATTGCATTCATGGAAGTTTTCTTTTGAAAGACCTAGTAGGAAAGGTATCCTTTAGAAATTAAATAACAAGATGCAATCGTTTCTTCTGCTTTTTCTAAACAAATACTTGGATTGCAATCCATGCTTTACATTTAAGACCACACAGAACTTTTCGCCTAGTGCTAAGCCTTTTATTTGACCGCATGGGAAAAGGACGGGGAAAGAGAGAACGGTAACGTGTAAGAGAACATTTGAAGGGAAGTGAAAGTTCAGGAGAATCATAAGGGAGGCAGCTGAGTTTTAAAAGGAGCCGTTAAGAAGTCAACGGCCGGCAGCGCGGACCATCCGGTCACAAGCTACTACCGAGCTCGACACGGACGCCAACTGCGGCATGGCTAGTCAGGATGCCGCTCCCCGCGCCACTTCAGCCTTCCCGGTCAGGTTACAAAACACGAGAAACGCTGTGCTCTGGGAGCCAAGAAAGGCACCTATGGCCAGGCAGCAAAAGCCTCCGCTCCCGGGGAGTCTCTGCGGGCCAAGGCAGGCACACAACCCCGAGCTCTCCTGAAATGCCAGGTGGGGGCGGCGCTAGGAGTGGAGCAGCGCCAGGCCGGGCCTGCGGGAACCGCCGCCGTTAGCAGGCGGGCACGGCGCGAAAGGCGGAGCGGCCCAGAGGCGCTCCTTCCTCCACAGCCAGCCAGCCTTCCCGTTCCCCTTCCACCAACTATCGCTGCCTACCAGCCGGCTGCCCTCCAGGCCCGGGCCGCAGCCGCTACCACCACCGCCGCTTCCCCCTCCTGCTCGACGACAAAATGGCGGCGGCAGGAAGTATCATCAGCACCCGCCCCGCCCAGGCTCCCTCACTGCGCCACCCGCGCACTAGACTGGATTCCCAGGCGCCGAGTCTCCTCTCTTTCGGCGCACGGACGGAGATCTACCCCGGCGCGCAGCCATCCGGATCAGCCGGCAAAGGCGGGAAGCGCTCTGGAAACGGAGTCCGACTTCCTAGCGGTACGCGCTGAGGACACAGACACGCTTACGATAATCGCGTATCCTACAGGGGGAAAACGACGACGCTCTTACGCAAATTCCGCAACCTCTCCAAGCCCTCTTCAGCGCCTACCGCAATCCGCGTAACCGTGCAAAATATCAAATCAACTACCACGCAATCGCCCACGCATACAATGTGTCCGGTAACTGCGAAACATGCATAAAAACAGACAGAGAAAATGCTCCTTTCACTCTCGGAAAACCGTAGGAAAAGCCCCATCACCAAACGGCGCAGATTCAAAAGACCTTTGCGCAATAGGCCCCGGCGCAAAATACGTAATCCGCCTGACGCAACGGTCACATTACGCAATGCGGGTTACGCCGGCAAGGCAACGTAATTACCCAAGGAGAATACCAACCTCCGCAGCCTCTCCCGGCCCGGCCCAGCTCTTACCTGATACCAAACGATAAGCCGCAGCAGGCTGTGTTGCCACCGATCCTGTTATCGGAGCAAATACCGTATAGCCCCGGCCACAGACAAAGCTTCACACTCCTCTTGGAGGGTCGAGGATCTAAAAAAAAAAAACCCCGATTAAAGCAGACCGAGCGACGGGCAGCGGGACCAGCAACAGCGGCACTACGCTGACCTCACCGCGCAGCGCGTTACGTCATCACGCAGCAAGCCCCGCCTCGCGTAAAACAGAGGACTTCGAATTCTCAGGCACGCCCCTTGAATCGAACGGCGGTGAGGCTGGCGAGGAGGGGGAAAGTTGCCTTCATTTCTGCGACGGTGCTCGGGAGCGAGCGGGAAGTGGAGTGGATGACGGCTCTGTATTTAAAAGATCCCTATTGCTAAGGACACTGCCTTTCTTTCAATAATGTCACAGTTACGAGAGGGTTCCCTCCGCCCCCCCCCCCCGCCATTCCCGCTTAGCTTTCTCTCCAGTACGATACCAGTCCCAGCAAGCCGGAGGATCAAGGTTCCCCTCCCGCTTGCCAAGATGCAGCATTCCAGATCGGTCCATTTGTGAACGCCACATCAGACCGACCTCCGACCTTCTACTTCTATCAACTCTGTGCTGGTTCCAAGCTTAAAAAACGGGCTTCTTCACACGAGTTCTCCGTGATGATTCACTCCCCCCCCCCCCCCCACGGCGGGGTTCCCACCTCCGACCTGCAAAAATAAAAATATCAGACAACCGCTAGATGGATTCGTGGTGGTTTTTTTTTTTAAAAAAATCTCTCTCCTGCCCTCTAGTGATGCCTTCATTTTTTTTCCCTCTCCACCTCTGAAGATCCGACCGAGTGTATAACACACGGAAGCGCGTCGCTAGTGCACATAGACCAAACAAGCCTTTCTGTGAGAAAGCCGCCCCGCCGTGCGAATGTACCGATTTGCCGGAAAATTACTCTGAATCTGTCCCAGAGGTGCTTTTTCAAGAGGCAACTGGGCTCTCTCTGTTTTTCTTTGAAGACATTTCGCTTCTCATCCAAGAAGCTTCTTCTGGTGAGAAGCGAAACGTCTTCAAAGAAAAACAGAGAGAGCCCAGTTGCCTCTTGAAAAAGCATATTTGGGACAACCATGACCTGGGATGGCTGAGAATCTCTACACGCATACTCTGAATCTGAGGAAGCAACGCTCTCCCCTCCCCTCCTCCACAGACCGAAGGTTGGTCGCCCAAACGCTCTTCTTGCTTCAGCTCCTTGCGACAAAAGAGTCCCCGTGTAGTAAAGGACGCCCTCGCCGTCCCCTCGCTCAAGCCTCGACAGGCGGAGCGGCCTTGTTCGCGCCAAGGACTTTAACCATCCAGGCACACTTTTACCTCCTAGCCTCCGAGGCTGTGGCGCGAATGACGACCGGCCGCCTTGGAGCGGAAGCTTTGCAAGCTGAGGAAAAGGACGCCAGCTTTTTCCTTGACAAGTTTAGATTAAGTGGAATTAAGGTTGCTGGCCGCCTTGCATCGCTCTCCTCTCCATAGAAGAGAGAGGTGGTGGCCCGGTAACAGTTACCACGAATCACTCGCGCTGCCAGTTCGTAAGCATGCCTTGATATCAGTATAGGTAGTTCTTGGCTTACGACCATACTTGAGCCCAACATTTCTGTTGCTAAGTTAATTTTGCCCCATTTTTCGATCTTTCTTGTCACAGTTAAATTTATTTATTTTGTCAAGCGATTATAAGATAACAGATATAAGTATAAACATAGTTATGAATCGATGAAATGAAATGCTGGCAGCTTAAAATTCAAAAGCAATACAATAAAAAACAAGATTCCCCAAGCTTTACAGCAGTGCATGCTTTCTTTCCAATTCAGGGTCCTCCATAAAAAGTAAATGTTTGGTAGAGATGTTTGGGATAAAGAGAGAGAGAGAGAGAGAAAGAGAGAGAGACAAGCTTCTGCATTTGTGCATTAAAAATGGCATCGTGATGATTTTGGAATTTTTGAGCTATGACATAGATGAAGTAGTTTGGGAAACTGGCAGTATACATGTTCCAGGATGGCCTGCTGAGATAATAAGCAGCCTCTGGCTCCAGGTGCTGTCAGGCTTATTAACCATTTGATAGTTCCCCTTCAGATGAATACCGTGAGAAGGACTAGCTTTCTACCCAACTCAAGATGGCGAAACAGCTTTGCAACTGTTTCAACAAAGATCAGACATTCATGTTCCAAAGGATGTCTCATTTGACTTTAGACAACACTCAACAGGTCTCTTCACCACCAAATTGGAAATGGAAGGACCAGAGGTGGTATTCAGCCAGTTCTGACAGGTTCTGGAGAACCGGTAGCGGAAATGTTGAGCAGTTCGGAAAACCAATAATGGAAATGTTGAGTAGTTCGGAATACCACCTCTGACTGGCCCCGCCCACATCTCTTCTCTGCCTCCCAAGTCCCAGCTGATCAGCTGGGTCTTCTTTGGTTGCCCTGCACAGGAGAACGGAGCTGGAAAGCAGGTTAGTGGGGTGGGGAGGGAATGGGGATTTTACAGTATCCTTTCCCCTGCCATGCCCACCAAGCCACGCCACACCCACCAAACCACACCCACAGAACTGATAGTAAAAAAATTTGAATACCACCGCTGGGAAGGACCAAACTCAAACAATACCAAAGGAAAGGATGGCACCCATTAGCAGTTCTGCTTCAAACCCTCGAACAGACAGCATTGCCAGCTATTACTAATAACAACTTTTGTCAAATTGTACAGGAAGATTGTGGAAGTGTGGATAATCATGAATGAAACATTTTAACCAAAACATGTACTCCAATCACATGCCTTATATTCCCTCCTTCCCATGACACTGTCCTTTTAAAAGGAAAAAAAAAAGTGCAACCAAGTAGAAGATTTTAGGTGCCAACTACACTGGGATCATGAGCAGAGTCCGGCAGTTGGGAACCAGAGCAGTGGTATAAGAAACAATTCCCTCAGCAGCTGTAGCAGATGAGAAACAGAGCGGCCAAGAAGACCAAGGCACAGATTGTGCAAGGTTTCCGCTCCAACAAGAAACTCAGAAGGTAGAAGCCCATGAACATTGAGTGACTGAACCACAAGGCTGGGTTGAGGGGCTTGGGAATGAGGAGGATGGGCAGTAACCACTGGAGACAGTACATGATGCCTGGGGAACAGGATGTCACAGTGATGGCAGCAATCCAAGTCGCAGTATGAAATTTCTCCTCTGCACATTCAGCTCTTCACCAACCAGGTACTTAAGTCTTCATAAAACTTGGGAATAATGTGCAAGTAAATCCTAGTGCATGCAATTTCATTGAGAGAAATCTTTTCCTTTTTTTGTAGCTTTGGTGTTCAGTGTAGCTAGATAGTCTTTCTTCCCTGCTCTCCATGCCATAGTGCCCCGTCACCCCTCGCCATGCTAATTTGTTCACATATAGAAAAAATAAAAAGAAACAATAGGACAGGGACGGTAGGCACTTTGGTGCGCTTATGCATGCCCCCCTGCAGACCTTAGGAAATAGTAGACAGTCTAAGGTTAAAGTTTTTGGGGTTTGGGGAAGAAACCACGGAGTCAGGTAGAGTATTCCAGACATTGACCACTCTGTTGCTGAAGTCGTATTTTCTGCAGTCAAGTTTGGTGCGGTTTACCTTGAGTTTGTATCTATTGTGTGCTCGTGTATTGTTATGGTTGAAGCTGAAGTATTCATTGACAGGTAGGACATTGCAATGTATGATTTTATGTACGATACTTAGATCGGACCGAAGACAGCGTACTTCTAGGTTTTCTAGGTCTAGAATTTCAAGTCTGGTGGCATAAGGTATTCTGCTATGAGTAGAGGAGTGGAGAACTCTTCTTGTGAAATATTTCTGGACTTTCTCAACTGTGTTAATATCAGATACGTAATGTGGGTTTCAGACTGATGAGCTGTATTCGAGTATTGGTCTGGCAAATGTTTTGTATGCCCTAGTTAGTAG